ATTTTTAAGTCCAAAAAGCTTTTTAAAGTTATTAAAAGTTTATTTTCAAAAAGCTTGAATTCAACAAAATTTTATCGCAAACTTTAACCTATATTTACATATATTTTAACTGAATTTAAATCAAATCAATAAAAAAATTAAAAATTTTACTTTTAATCAATAAAAAAATTTTTAAAAAATATAATCTTTGGGTTAATTTAATGAATTTAAGGTTATTTTGGATTGAAAGTGAAGAAACAATGAAGAAGTGAAAAGGTAAGAAGGGAAAATAAGAAGTCGAGGGCTAAAGTGTATTTAAAACTCCCTCTCTTTTTTTTAATATTCAATATTTTATTTTTGTGCTTATATCAAATCTTTGCATAAAGATTAAAATAGCCTTTTTGCATATTGATCTTCCAATAATAAACCATCAATCCACCTTAATTTTTTTTTTCTAGTAATGACTTTAGTTTAATTTCTTGATATTCAAATTTATCTCAAATAGTATATAAATCTTTATTACATAGAAAATTAAATATATTGCTATATTTTTCACTCAAACTTTTTTCTCATATGGTTGAACTTTTTTGTTCAATCCATATTTTCAATATATTTTATTAAGTTAAAAACAATTAACAAAATATATTTAATACAATTTTTATTTTTATCAATTAAAAATGAAAATTGAGTAAAATCAACTAAAGTCCTAACTTTTTTATATATTGAGGCATTTCTATGAAAAAGTTAATGTTTTTATATATTGAGGCATTTCCTTCTCTTAATGTTTATTATTATTTTTTCATTCTATTTGATTGTAAATATTTTTACTATGTTACCATAATTTGTAGTTTTCCCATCAATTGTTTTTTTTTTTTTTTTTCTGTTAAAGTATGGTGTGGAGTAAATCTAGCATTTGCAAGTCTTAATTGGTAACCTGTAATGTTGGGTATCCAATCCTAAGTTACAAAAGTTAACTGATGTGGTTTTGTAAAATTTTGAATGTTAGAGCACGATTAATAAGTTAGCTACCATTAGCTTTCCTCTACAATTTATACATTCAACTTAAGTTTTAGGTAATATTACAGGGGAAAACATATTAAATTGCTATAACAATAAACATGAAAGAGATCTCATAATAGAACAAATGAAATGAAGATATGTCCTAAATATAACATCATGAGTTTAGATGATTGTTGCTTGAACAGTAATCACCATTGTTTTACACTTTGTTAAGGCTAAGGATTTTGATTGTCTATGCCAACTTTTAAATAACATGGGATTCTACTTAAGAAAGAACCAAGAAAAATGGACTATTAGAGACAATAATACATAGAAAAGTTTTATACGGGAACAACGTTTGTATCTTTAAAACAAAAAAGAAGTTGGAGACTTAATAGTAAAAAAGGTCAAGAGTTCAATTAAACATCTTGCTCAATTCAGTTATCTTTATTGTAGTAACACAAGAAAGATGGGAGAATATTTTTTGCATTTGGTGTTAAAATTTTCTATAAGTGAGCTACTATTAATTGATGATTTTAATAATTTAATAAAATCGATTGATAAGTTTAGTCTTAATATGAGATAAGTATCTGAGCTCAAATAATTTAACTTAATTACTTAAGCGTGAGTTTTATACATCTTACTAAATTAGTGCGATTTGGTGATTATGTGGATTTTTAACTTAGTAAGCTTTTAATATAGAGGCCTTTTAAGGTTTTTAATAGAATAAACTAAGCTTCCCTCTTCGCTTTTATAAGTTATGGTTACTAGCCATTGAGTGTCACTAGTAAGAGAAGAACGAAAGGAAGATCTACCCATTCAATGGATTATTTTGCTTTCATGTTTTGGTCATGGTCATCCAAATAAGTATGTTAAATCTCTCTATTTATTTATGGTGTCTGATTATCATATAATGATCTTAAGTTAATAATTACATGTGATATCAAAGTCATCATTGTGTGGAATTAGGACTCTAAAATCATGTTTCATATTTGATTTTTATATGAATTGCTTGTTTGGGGTGAAATTTAATTTATTGTCATAATCTTAATTTTCAGCCTTTATTTTTCAAAATTAATTTAGGACTTTTGTTTCATTCTAAAAGAGGATTAAAATCATATAAAAAATATTTACTAATTCTTTGTATAGAAAGAGATATCGATGTTAAGAGTTTTTTGTTCAAGTTTTAATCTAATTTTTTGTTTTAATTAAAATATTAATATTTTATGTAATTAATCTAAAATTGATTCTTAAATTAAATTGATCATGTGTCATAAAATTACATTAAAGTGTTTACTTTAACAAAACATCTAGCGGGTCGAAACGAGCATAACGATGAAACTTTTTAATTCATCAAAGTAGTTAACATAAAAGCAGATAAGGAATCTAGTAAAAAAAGCTAACTACCGTGTTCTACGTGCTAGGCTTTGGATCAATTTAAGTCATCTTGCTTTCCACAAACATCCAAGCAAACTAAGAAATTTTAAGTCAAGAAAGCTAACGATCGTTCTAAACGCAAGGATCAATAAAGTGCTCTTAGTTTCACATACGTCAAAGCAGACTAAGAAATTTTAGATAAAGAATGAAAGCTACCAAATGCAAGGATCAATCGTTCTTCTCGCTTTATTCATTAAACTTGAAAATTTCACATTGTCAGTAAAATTTTATTTATTTATTTATTAAACAAGATAAAATTTTAACTGAAAGTAACCCAAAAATAGTAATATTAGAAATTAAAAAAAAAAAAGTTGAGAGTCAAGAAGCTAATATGTAAATGAGTCAAGAAACCAAGCCAATATTTAAAAAGCATTAAAAAATCTCACTATTACACACAAAAAGAAAAAATGATCCAACTTTGAAATGGATTTTTCTTCCCACGTTATTTTGTATTTATTTTTGTGATAATTGATTTTTCTTGTAATTACAAATGATGTCATATGTTTAGAATTTGATTGAATTATTGATACAATTTAGAAGAATGCTAGGGACACTCGGCCAATAATACTCCAAATTTTATGAAGTTACGTCAATTCATTTTCGTAATTTAAAACCTGCAGCAATCTTTTTTTTTTTAATTGTAAATACATCATAATTTTCTTTTTTTACACCTCATATTTTCTTTATAAATATTTATATAGTAAATATCAATTTTATCTTTTATTAAATTATAAAAATATCTTCAAATTCTCGTACATCCCATACATCTTTTTTTGTTTCTCAGTTGAGTCTTTTTTTTATGTTTTTAAAATTTTATTTTTAAAAATAAAAAATAATTTTTAAAAATAAAAATTTGAAAGTTATTTTATATTTTCAAAATTTTTTTTTCAAAATTTATTCTTCAAAATTTAATATAATTTTAAAATTATGATATATTCTCAAAAATAAAATTTTGAAAACGACAAAACATGTGTTTAAAATTCGGAGTACTGCTGAGCAACTGTCCATCCATTCATATGTGTTTCACGTGTGTACAGCAAAAAGTAAAATAGTACAATTATTGTAGAGATTCAAAATTACAAATGATGTCATATGTTTAAAATTTGATTGAATTATTGATACAATTTAGAAGAATGATAGGGACACTCGCACAAACAATCGGCCAATAATACTCAAAATTTTATGAAGCTAAATCAATCTATTTTCGTAATTTAAAACCTGCCGCGGTCTTTTTATTTTTTCTTTTAATTGTAAATACATCATAATTTTCTCTTTTTACACCTCATAAAATTTTTTTTATAAATATTTAAATAATAAATATCAGTTTTATCTTTTAATAAATTATAAAAATATCTTCAAACTCTCATTCGTCTCATACATTTTTTTTTTTCTCGATCGGTCTATTTTTTTATGTTTTTAAAATTTTATTTTCAAAAATATAATTAATTTTTAAAAATTTATTTTCAAAGTTTACGATGTGGTTTTTAAAATTTATTTTCGAAAACATAATATAATTTTAAAATTATGTCATATTTTCAAAAATAAATTTTTGAAAATGATATAACATGTGTTTAAAAATTTAGAGGAGGGCAGAACTGTCCATCTAATCACGAAATGCCTTTTTAAGTCTGACAACAGTTTACCACTCAAAATTTCAGACATGCGTTTGACACGTGAAAAAAATGTAAAATAGTACAATTATTATAAAGATTCAAAAACATCAAATTTTATCTGTGACTTGACAACTCATAATCCAGTTGTCTTTCTTGTAAAAGATTCCCTTCGATGATAGAGCTTCTGATTGAGCTCAGATTTGACCACTCAACCATCAAATAACGGAGAGGATTATCAAAATTATGAATTTCCCATATTTGACTGTAAAAAAAGGAATTAAATTTGATTTGTTATATAAATTAAAAAAATAAAATATATTCTTTAGTTGATAATCATGTGAGATGATGAAAAATATTAAAATTTTTTATTTTAATCAAATTTTAATAATTTTAAATAAAAATAAATTTTTATATACAAATTAATTAAAATCTAATATACATGTGCATTTAAAAGAATATAGGAAGATGGATTTTAGATTCACCATTATATATAGGAATCCAGTAAATTAATAAATTTAAAAATAATTATGAAATTTTTTTTATAATTTTGTGAGAAGAGAAATGATTTGCCTCCCACTCGGACCGGGAGAGAAGTGCCCTCCCTCACTTGTCGTCTTTTCTAAAAGACAGTCGGATGCTTCTGACTTGGATTGAGATCAGTTTCAGTATCTTTATCTCGGATAGTAATATGTCATCTTCGTGTACGAATCATATTTATAAAAAAATTGTTAAACTTACGAAATATATTAAAGAGTAAATTAAAAATTATAAAGATATTGATTTAGAAATTGAAATCATTCTTTGAAAGATCAAGTCACAAGTTCAAATTTATTGCCATTTAAACTGATCAATTTACATTTATTATTGTATCAAATGGACCCTTCGTTTTACAAAACAGACCTGAATTCTTTGAGATGACAGACAAACCTAGCAAACTTAGCAGAAATTTATTTAACAATATTCTGCATATTGGCAAAGGTCAGAGCTTAAATTGATGTATCGCAGATAGAGGCACGTTTCGGCTTTGTTGTGAGGTCCCCTCAGTCCTTTGGGAGTGTTTATGCATTATAATTTCTTTGACAGTGATTTCACGGTAGATTGGTGGGTTTTCTTCGGAAGCCAATTCCTTTATTGGTCCGTATAGTCTGGAGCTATTCTCTGGATGGTGATGAGTTCTAAATATGCATGCCACTGAAATTCTTGCCCCTTCTTTTTTCGCCACTACTCTGTGATATGCGCTTATGAACTTGTCGTTGGAAATTAGCTGCCAAAGAAAACATGAAAAAAAAAGAATGAATTAATCTTAAATCGTATCAATACTCAAATATTGGCCTACTATCTAAACTCTAAAGTTAAGAAAAACTATCTCTTAGTTCGTAATGAAATTTTTATATTTCATCAATAAAATTTAAAAGTTGACAAATTTCTTAACAAAATATATTATTAATTATTATTATTTTTAAATTTGAACCAACCGTTTAATTTAATTGATTATGTAACATTCTTAAGAAGTATCATTTAAAAAATTTAAATTTTAAATCTTAGCATTTATAATTTTTTCTATTCAGATTATATTTTTTTAATAAAAAATTATATTTCATGTAAAAGCAAATTGACACGTATGATTTTAATTAGTTAATTTTTTAGGCATATAAGTGTTATTTTAAAGACTTTCCAACAAAAATTACTTTTTCAAAGCAAAAAAGCAAAGTCCACCTGCAGGTGCAATTGGAAAGCTTATTAAAATGGCTCAATTTGAAATTGAGTGATAGATGCTACTTACGTAACCCAGGCGCCTAGCTATTCGGTTTCCAATAATTTACCCCAAAAATAAGTTTTAATGTTTTTTTATACAATTATTGCATTGTACCTTAATTTGTTTTTTTCTCAATCTAAAGTGCTAGACTGTTTTTGAGCTACACCAATTTTGTTTTTACAGAAAAGATAGTAAAATTAGTTCAAGTTTTCCACTTTGGATGATTCAAAGACTTGAATGATTCAAAAGGAAAAGAGGAGTTAAAATTGAAGAAGGTGGAGGTTTTAGAATAGTTATATTAAGTTTAATGTTTTTGAAGGAGAACTTACCTGTAGTAGGTCACCTATGTTCACTACTAGAGCCCCAGGCACAGGCTTAACATCAATCCATTGGTTTTCATGGAGAACTTGGAGGCCACCAATTTGGTCTTGTAGAAGAATTGTAATGAAGCTAGTATCAGCATGTGCTGTTGCGCCCAAAGTCAGCTGCGGTTGTGGACAGGCGGGGTAGTAATGGCATGGAGCAAAGATGCCATCGGCACAACCTATGTCGTTCAGATGATTGGAATCTAGCCCTAGAGCTTCCGAGAGCAATTCATATATTGTTTTCCCCAGCTTCATTATTTCATCGGTGTATTTGATCATTATGTCCCTATGAAATTACACAAAATTACAAAAGAAAAAACTTAAGAAAAAAGGTTTTTCTATTGAATAATTGTATGGCAGGATTTTCAATTGCCTTTACAGTGGATTTTTGTTTGACATTGCATTTTTGGTGATTACGGGTATAATAGATGAAACAACGTGGGTTATCGTGGTGATTGTGGATGTTTTATTTTTTAAAGATTTTGAAGAATGAAATGTAGTAAATAATTATATACTTATCATAATAATTTTTATTTTACAATTTTTAAAATAGTTTAAGAAAATTATTTTTTTGTCAGCCAAAATAAATTTATTAATAATCAAAAGAAAATACAGCTAGCAAGATCAAAACACGGAAGTATAGTTCTGTTGCAAGAAGATAGAACATTAAATCATATCCTAAGGAAATCACCTTAAAATTATAGTTTAAGCAAACTATATTATGACTTGTTCAAATATATGCTTACTTGATGTGCACATACCTGCATGTTGCTGGCAATTCTTCATGTTTGGGAGGACGATGGATCCCTGTAATGAAAGTCAAAGTATCCCTCCAACAAGCTGCTGGTGCCTCGTGCAAGTTAAAATTGGAATTGTATAACAGATTTTTTGTGTTATAATCGCGGCTATAATACCCTTTCTTTACCTCCAAGTCTTGTTCATGAAATCTACGAATCCCATCGATCATTTCGTCTAGAGTACTGGCTTCGATTCCATGATTGATTAGCTGACAGAAACCCCATTTTTCACAAGCATTTTTAACTTCATCAATTATGTTACTACGTAAACTTGCATCTTTATCGATGCCATCGAAATCAATAACCGGTATTTCGATGTTAGAGTTGGTGGAAACTGGGAAATCCTGGAGCTTATTTTGCTTGTGCTTGAACATTGGAGGGATCTCTGACACTCCAGCGTCTACAAGTCCTTTTACGCCAGCTTTTGACTCGTCGAAAGCCTTCACTTCGCTTTTCCAGTCATAGTTGGATTTGGATTCCTCTGCCTGAATTGCAGCAACTGGTGTTGTGGCTGCCATTTCCTTCTGAAGAGTGATTCAACAAAAGCTTTTGGAAAAGGAAAAACTGTGTGGAATGTAGAAAGGAGACACTGGTCGACAAGGAAACTATGAAGGCTTTATGTAGATATATCAATGCATTAAGGTAAGTGAGTATAGTCCTACATTTGACAGAGGTCAATTTATGGAAGTGGTGACACTACGGGGGTTTAAGTCTTTAGTGGTCTTATTTTTAAGGTTTAGTGGCGTTGATACACGCCACTAAAATATTTGCACCATTTGTAAAAAATGCTATTAAGAGTGTATACTATACCCGCGTTAGAAAAAATAGTGATATTTTATAAGAAATGCTACTAATTTAGTAGTATTTGTAAGCACAATCACTGCTAATTTAATAGCATTTATATCATAAAAATATTATTAATTTAATGACGTTTGTATCAAAAAAATATCACTCTATTTAGCGGCCTCTGTAAGGATAATCACTGTTAAATTAATGGCATTTGTATAGAAAAATGTTGTTAAATTTAGTGGTATTTTATGATACAAACACCACTAAAATTTAAATTTAGCGGCATTTTTGGACACAAATACCGCGAAATTAAAAAATTTACTTTTTTTTTTAAATTTCATTTTATATTTATTATCATTAAATAAAAATGTTAAAAAAAATAAAAACGAACTTAAATTCATTAATTGAATATTATAAATACATAATTAGTTCAAAGATGCATGTAATACAAAGTTTAATAATACATGTAATAACATTCAAATGAATTTAGTACATTAACTAAAAAATTTAAAATATATGAAATTGATGACTACATAAATTTGGAGTACTACCATTTGATTAAGGATTTTTTTCACCTTGGTTACTAGGGTGCTAAAAAACTACTAAATAATATCATACAAGTTTTAATACTTAATAATAAGTTATTTTTTATATTAAAAAATATAAATAGTTACTAAATGTAATATCTGAGTTGGTGGATCACCTAGATTAGTTTCTAAAAATTGTTGTTACACAAAATTCATAAGAGTATCGAATTGATCATACAACTGTTGAAATTTTGCACACTTTTGATCCATTCTAGCACGTTTTTCTTCAATTTTAGCATGCTCATGTTTTCTTTCTACTTCCATTTGCTAGAAATATTGTTGCATAGTTTGCAACTCTTTTCTCAATACGAAACTATCTCGCTGCTAATTTAGTAGCATTTATATAAGAAAAACATCATTTTATTTTGTGGTGTTTGTAAGGACAATCGCTGTTAAATTAGCGACTTTTGTATCAGAAAAACTCTGTTAATTTAGCGATGTTTGTATCAAAAAATCATTGCTAATTTAACAGTATTTGTATAGAAAAATGCCACTAAATTTAGTGGCATTTTATGCTACAAATATCACTAAATTTTGAATTTAACGACATTTTTTAACATAAACGTTGTGAAATTAATAAATTTATTTTTATATTTATTATTATGATTAAATAAAAATATTAAAAGAAATAAAAACGAACTTAGATTCCTAAACTGAATATTATAAATACATAATTAGTTCAAATATGCATGTAACATAAAGTTTAATAATACATGCAATAACATTCAAATTATTTTAGTACATTAACCAAAAAATTTAAAATGTATAAAATTGACGACTGTATTGATTTGGAATACTATCATTCGGTGAAGGATGTTTTCCACCTTGGTCACTAGTGTGCTCAAGAATCTACTAAATAATTATCATAACGATTTTGAGATCGCCAAATGTAAACTATTTTAAAATTGGAAAAAATAAAAGAATAGTCGCCACCAATCTTTATTAGGGTGTGATTGGTCGCCCAAAAGATTATCTTTTTAATAAAACCATAAAAGTAGGTTTAAAGTTTATCAAAAAGATAAATTTTAGTCCACGAAAAACCAGACCAAGCTCGAGAGTCGGTTACGTGTGGGAAAGGATTAGCACCCCCACAACGCTCATAAATTGGTACCATTTAATTATGCATTATTTTCAGTGTTGGATGAAATGATTTTGTTTTGAAATTTAACATTAATTCCCTTTATTTTTTTTAAATATTTTGTTTAAATTCTTTATTTAGAAACATTTAGGAAATCTTTAATTTAAAGAATCATTTTAAAATTCTCCAACATCTAGGTAGAACTTAAAATAACTCTTTTCACTTAAGATTTAACACAATATCCCTTAAAACGAAAATAACATTCTTAGTGAAAAATAATTAATGGTGACTCTCCAACATTTAGGCAGAGTATGAGAAATTTAGTTTAAATCATAAAATTATTATTTATAATCAAAATTTTAAAGTAATAATCTAATGTGAAAAAAATTTCACAAGTAGCAAGCAGATTGAGATTGAGTCAAATATAAAAAGATAACCTTTAAAGCTATGGTAATTATGTATAATGACAAATCAAATTTAAATTCTTTTATCATTTATGAGATCCACATTGACTCAATTGATCTAGTTCAGAGTTACAGATTCGATGGCATAGAAAACTATTTTTTTAATATTTACTTTGCTTTATTTATTAAAACATTAAGATTATTAAAATGGTATTACACATGAGAAAATTCTTAAATCTTCCAATTATTTGCAAGCATTTTCTACAATTGCTTCATGAATTCATCACACCTTAGATTCATTGAAGTTTTGATAATTTTTAAATTTAAATTAGGGTTTTAAGATTTTAAAGATTTGAAAATGTGTATCAAATTTGGGATTTTACTTTTAGATTTTTAGGTTTTGGATTTTGGAGTTTGAGATTTTGGATTTTAGGATTTTTGGTAAACTTGGATTTTTAGGTTTGGGGCTTTAGTTTTAGGATTTAGATGTTTTAGGGATTTGATTTTAGGGTTTGGAGGGTTTAAGATTTCATTTTTAAGGTTCAGAGGGTTTAGGGTTTCGTTTTTAGGGTTGAAAGGGTTTAGAGTTTAATTTGGGGTTTAAAGTGTTTAGGGTTGCGTTTTTAGAATTTGGAGGTTTAGGGTTTAATTTTAAGATTTAGGTTTTTAAATTTTTTTTAATAATTTAAAAAACATGAACATCTTTAAAAATTTTCAACATCTAGGCGAACTTTTGAAGCAAGTTCAATTTTTATGACTTTTTGAAAATTAAATTAAAAAATTCCTTTTTTATAAAAATTTATTATTAATAAAAATAAATTTACTATTATTATTATTATTATTAAAATTTTTTTATATAATTCCTCAATATCTAGGCGAAATTATATTTTAGAATATGTTTTTATTCCCTCCAACATCTAGGCAGGGAAAATAAAAAAATATTATCTTATTCTTATTATAAAATTTTAAAAAATTATTATTATTGTTTTAGCATTTTTAATTTTTTAAATTATTATCCTATTTTATTTTCATTTTATTATTATTAAAAATAATCAAATATTTATTCTAACAAATTTAAAAAAATTATAATGCATGAATATATAAAAAAAAACTCAAAATAACAAAAATAATAATATATAAAAAAATTCAACATTTCAAAAAAATAATTTTTTTTACTTGAAACGGACCGATCAATGCTGGTCTGGATCGGTTTGACAGTTCAATTAGCGGTGCGATCTAAAGGTTCAGACCGGTTTGACCGGTTTACTAGCGATTCGTTTGGACTGGTTCAAGGCTGGTTGAAGCGGGTCATGGGTTGGGTTGCACAGATCTCAAGTCGGATCTGGGTTGACGAGCAGATCCTCTTAGTCCAAAATGAAGTCGTTTTGGGTTTTGCTCTTCTATATAAAAGCAAAAATTTTTTTTACCTCATTCTCACCCTTCAACCCAAAAAAAATTTCAGAGCTCCTGGGAAAGCTCCCAGGGCTTTGCCAGCGTCCAACATCGGACCGCTGTCCTGACCGCTGTCTGAGTTACAATTGACGGTCATCACCGGTGGTCGAAAATCACAAAAAAATTCTAGAAACTCCTTTCAATGCTCTTTTCTTAAATCTGACATTCTCTTTACTTGAAACATGCCCGATCAACATAGATCGCGGCTTAAAGTTTTTGTCTTTTTTTTTTCTCTTCATTTTTTTTATAAAGCCAAAACTGATGTTGTTTTTTCTTTTGCAGGTACCTTTTTGGCGCTAGGTTCCTCCATGCGGGGGGACTATTTTTGTGGGTTTTTTTTTCACTTTTTTGTGCTTTCTGATGGGTAGGGATTTAGCAGGATGTTTGGAGTGTGTGTGTATGTGTTCTAGCCCTCTAAGAGCTAGGTGAGGGTGAAAGGCTCAGGCTCTAAGAAGGCTGGCTTTTGGTTTTGGGTGTGTGTGTGGAGGTTGGGAATCGAGGTAAGGTCAAGTTGGGGTTAGCATGTGTGAATGTTTGTATCTGTGGCTAAAGGAGAGAGGTTTAAAAGGGAAGAAGCTGGCGGGTTTTAAAGAGCTTCAAAAGGGGAATAGGTGGTGGCTATAGGATGGCTATAGGGGTACGCTGTAAGTGGGTTGAGGTAGGTTGTAGAGGGTGGCTGGTCGGGGGCGGCAGCGGCGCCGTACCCCAGCCACCCTACTTTTTATTTTTTTTTCCTTTTTTCTCTAATTAAATTTTTTAAAAATATATTTATTATTATTATTAATTTTAATATAAAAGATTCGGATAAAATTCGGTGTCTACATTGCCCTTTTTTGTCCATTACTGGGAATTAGGAATATAGCAAAGATAAAGATGTCGATTTTGTCAAGAAGCAATTCAAGGATTTTTTCAATTTTTTTTTTCTCTTTTCTTTTAACCATAGTTAAGTTATAAAGAAAATGACTGGGATGCATTCGCAAGTTGAAAAGTAAAAAAAATCAATCGGAATAACACCACGAATAGAAATTATATTCAGAGGTCTTAAAAATCATGCCTGGAGGTTTTATAGAATCGACTGGATAACACTGCAAGTTGAAAAATAAGAAATCAATCGATATAACACCGTAAATCAAAATTATACCTAGCGGTCTTAAAAATCATCCATGAAGGTCTTACAAAATCATGTCCGGAGGTCTTAGAGATTATGC